AACCAAATTTATTTTATATTGCAGAGGTGTGAAGCTTTGGAAATGGGTATACTGACCCGTCCATGTACACTTTCTAAACATATTTCGCTTTATGGAACCATCTATCCTTCTAGAGAGTCGGACATCTAGAAAAGCTATGCTATTGTCCTTTTCCTCCTCGCTGGTGAATTTATTACATTTTATTATTATCTCAGTTGACAAAATTATTTTCAATTTTGCAATAGTACTATTATATTATCTTATTGTGACTGAACAATTTACTGACCTTTATTGAATGACCTTTCTAATTTGCAAATATTACAATTTTTTGAAGTATATATATATCGTAACAGATGCAAACGCTCACCAATTTTTTAACACATAACATTGTCAAACTCATTAAAACATGCCTTATTTTTGGCCTTTGTAAAATATTATAATTATGGACTTATAACTGTAGAGCCTGATGATGAAGTTATTGAAAACAATTGTTCGCTCAAATATTCTTCGTTTTTGAAAATAATGTCTCGAAATTTGCATGGCATTTCAACTTGCATTATACGCATTGTTAGGTCCCGATAAACATAATGAATGGTAACTTTGGAATCCTTTTATAGACCAATACTAAATGTATATTTTTATTGTATAATTGTTTATTAACTAAACTATTCATATTTACATTTCGCTTATTATAAATTTTATTTTGACCTATGAACCATTATTATATCCTGTCTATTAGTCACTGCCTCCCACCTTCACAGCCTTATTTGGCCAAATTTTGTACAAATGTTATTTTCTATTTTATGCTACGTTGTGGTCTATTTGATTGGTCTATAAACTCAGTATGTTTGAAATATAAGGATTCATATTGCAGAGGCTGAGATTGATGTTCTGGACTTTAACTGGCTGAGCTAGGCGGAAAGTAGGACCAAGTAGGACTCCAGGCTGCTCGCACGTGTTTTACGCATCCTTGGTCCGATCAATAGTTCGCTGCTTCTGATTGGTGGCTTTGGGCTATAACACGCATATATATACAGATTTCCATTTATAACATTAGCTATGTTTATTTATTCTATTATATATAAATATAATATTGTAGATAACTCGAACTATTAGCCAACTTAATTATATGTGGGCTTGATTCGATTAAACTAATGAATATGTAAACAATTTGATAAAAAGAAAAAATATTTTTTCCCATTTTCAAATAAATTCATATTAAGAATGGAAACTGAACTGAACATTCATAGGTATTTATTAATCCATCCAACCATCCATCCATCTATCTATCCATCTATCATTGTGTCACAACTCAATTGTTATCTAAATATAATTGTCAAAATGTTTTTTTTAAAATACGAACCAGTCAATATGCTTTCAATATACTAAATAATTTTCATTGAGCTTTATTATTTTCTTTTTTGTGAAAAGTACTAGTTCCATATGGAAATATGAACATGAATAACCATAATGATGTCATAGATTAGATTTATTTTTATTAAATGAAAAAGAATTTTCTCTAATCTTGTAAACAGTTTTAGATTCATCATTATATAAATGTCAATTTATTTTATTGAATTGATCTTCGATATAGGGAACAAAATGGATGTACTCTTAAAGTGATTTACGCGCATATATATGTATAACATAGCTAGTTTGGAGTGAATGTAATAAAATAATCTTTCGCTTTTTACTAATACTAAATATTAATGACAGTTAGATAGAAAACACAATATCAGTATAACAAATCAAATTTGAAAGTTGGAAATATGAAAGGAAATAGTTTTTCAAATGTTTTTCTATTATTCAGTGTTGGTTGGTTGGATGGAGACTGCTGGTGGGTAACCTATGCTACTCCACGAGGAGAAACAGGTGTGAGTAAGTAAGTTAGTAAGTATACAGAGACAAAGGACAGAAACTTTATCGATTATATGTATAAATGTTTAATGAATGAATGATAGAGTATATTTTAAATTTATCAATATTATTTTCTATTATGGAATTGATAATGTTCTTGTATTGCCGAATTAGCTTCATAAATGATAAATATCAATGGTATTTGTTTGTATTCTGATAGAACTAATGAGTTATTAAGGTCAGTATGCCTGTCACCTTATTCAAAGTGTTGATTTAATTCATTCACTACTCAAAGAATGAATTTAATCATGTTAAGACAAACAGAATATTACATTGATAGAATGTTTCTATTGAAACTGTGTTACAAAAACAAGATTTTGTACAAGTTCTCATTAATAAACGAAATCATTTGTCAGATCAATGTAGCATGGCCTACTATCAATGTGACCTTTTTTAATGAATTCTCGTTACATAGTTTTACGTAGTATTGTTATTACTATTGCATTTCCATTGGGTACCAAAATAAAACTCCCTAACATGTTGCTCCGATAGAAGTTCATTTGATGTTACTGGTGTGATAATGCCATATTCATTATTAATCTTAATTCAGAAACCACCATTTTTTTACTAGGTCTTCAAGAAGTTACTCATAAATACTATGTAATATATGTATATTCTTAGGTTAGCTGAGATTTCGTAGTTTAGGGACAAGTTGTATTTTTTAGAATTACTAATTAAAAATAAGTAGTACTACCTATTTTATTAAGAAAATAAATTTTTCAGCTGTTTCAACTGTAAAAGGAATGAAATTCATAATTTATGGTCAATTATTTATTTTTTAAACTATAATTTAGTTTCAATAGTTGATATCATGAGTCTAAAGGTCAAGCGTTGGCGGGCAAAACCGATAGGTCCTGGGTTGAAATCTCGTGAGGCGGGATCGTGAATGTACACTGCTGAGGAGACCCATAACAGGACGAAACAGTCGTCCAGTGCTTCCAGGTTTTCCATGGTGGTCTAGCTTCAATTGACTCATAATCACAACTATTGGAATTACTATAATATTCACAAAAACCCCATTCCGATATAATTTAGTTATTTATTAAATGTTGACTTATTATTGCTTAAATAGTTCTGTTTATTATTTCAAGTTATCGACTAAAATTTATGACAATGAATTTTATACCTTAAAAAGGTAATAAAAATTCAGTGGTATTTTTTTATTACTTGACCTTTCAGTGAGTTTATCAAAACAACACAGACATGTGAAAAAACAAACTAAAATAAACAATATTTCCCTTAAAGCTTTTAGCCAATTCTGAACGGTAGTATTTGCTAGCTTAATACACTCTTAAATATATGCTAATGATTATGGGGATTCTTAAAAATGCTCAATATTACCGAATAAATTAGTTTCTAACTCTAATGGATACTCAACATCCATTGGCCGGATACCATCAGCAATAGCCTTCTGCGGGAGAGAACAAATCAAATTCCAGCTGAAGAAGAAATTAGGATAAGACGATGGAAATGGATAGGACATACATTACGCAAATCGTCAAACTGCATCACGAGGCAAGCCCTAACTTGGAATCCTGAAGGGTAGCGAAAAAGAGGAAGGCCAAAGAACACATTGCGTCGGATAATAGAATCAGATATGAAAAGGATGAATTATAAATGGAAGGAGGTAGAAAGGATTGCCCAGGACAGGGTTGGATGGAGAATGCTGGTGAGCGGCCTATGCTCCTTCACGAGGAGTAACAGGCGTAAGTAAGTAAGTCTAATCTATCTTAAGAAATAATTGTTCATGTAAATTTCATAGAATAATTATGAATACACAAAATAGGTTTATTATCGTTTGCTGTTCTTAGTACAAATTGAAACAGTTTACAAATAGTAACCAGTGTGATAAAACTATATTAGATACAAGATTGATTATGTTTTATATAGTGAATCTATTTAGGATAGAAATGTGAACAAGTTATTAATGTGTAATAATCACGAAACTGAACTGATTTAACTAATATCTATATTGAAGATGAGATTCATTATGGCTAGTGATTCATTCAAACAATCGATATTTTATTATTAGTGACAATACAGTTTATATATTTACAAATCATCTCTTATAAAATAGTCTGGTTAAGTAGTTATTTGATAGCTAAAACAAATATCTAGTTTGTTCTTAAAATTCTCAAACACATCTACATGCATCAAGCATCTGATAACGGTAATTCAATATTACTGAAAATGCTTAAACATTTCGATTATAATAAACTAATCCAATTTCTATGATTCAAAATCATGTAATGATTAAAGTCCCGACCGTTGTTGCTACCTTTACGTAGTGGTCGGGCTTGCCTATCGTGATGAAGCAACCGAGCTATACTGGCTGGAACAACCGCTCCGCAAGGTCCTACCATGTCAGATAGGTCGGTTGAAGAGCGGTAAGACTAAATGCAACAAACCCAAGGTCCGAAGGCGAAGTCGTACTGCTGACTGTACAGAGGTGTGACAGCAGTAAGGTGTTTCCTTCAGACAACCAGCATGACAGCAATGCTGCCTTCCCACAAGGAGGGGTGGGGTGTGGTTAGAAAAGGTCGACCCTAAAAATGCACACCTCGCCTTATCTCACGGATATTTGTCTCCGGCGGTAAGGTATCAACAATTACGGAGCTAACACGAAAATTACCCAAAATGATGTCGTGTGCGACCGACCTCAAGCAGTTGTCTCTTGTGCACTGAGGTCACGCTCTCAGGTCACTAAGACCACCTCTAACCCAATTTTCTTTGCAGGTACCTCCAGAAGAACCCTTCCACGGTGTGGGCGACCGGGAAGTGATAATCGCCCTTATAACTCTAACAGCCTTCAAGACCACTGACTGAATGAATAAGGTAAATAACAATGTAGTTGCATAAATTGTCAAAAAAGAAGCTTAAATTATCCAATATTCATTGTATTAGTTTTAGCTAAGTAACAAAATGATTTCTTAATAAAACTTCATCAAAATCATCCACCTAAGCTACAAATCGTTACTATTTCACAAGTGAGATTACTTTAAATTTAATGCATTGAAGCATTTAAAGTGTATACAACAAAAATTTCTAAAATAAAAAAAAACCATATTTACATTTTTATATGTATGAAACTCAGATACACTTACCAGTTTACAAATAAAAAGAAAATGAAGACATTTATCACTTCTATTCATAATTATGTATTATTAACTGTGAAATATACTTTATTCATTCAATTGTTTATTTTCATTAAAAGGGATGTAAATCTATGTTTATTGTATCCTGTACATAATAAAATACTAAATAAGATAACAACTTTAAATCAGTATTCGATGATAAATTAACCTTGTATTTATATATAGATATATATATCAGTAGTATAAGTAAATATCTATCATTTCAATGATAAATAATAAGTTAATGTTTATATAAGTATTTATATGAACGTTAACTTATTTACTTTACATAAACTAAAATTAACCAATAAGAAATAAATGAAATTCATTTAAATAATTTGATTGGTTTAATTTTCTATTAGAAATGAATAAATAGGTAATATATAATAAATAATTTTGAATATATATTCATTTCATTATAAATAAATAGGTATTTTAGTAAAAGAAGGTGTTTTGCGGAGATTGCTGTAATTTAAAAAACAGTTGAGATCATGAGTCAATTGAAGCTAGACCACCATGGAAAACATGGAAGCACTGGAGGGCCATTTCGTCCTATTGTGTGACTTCTCAGCAGTGCGCATCCAAGACCCCGCCTTGCTGGATTCGAGCCAAGGATTTATCAGTCTAGCGCCGTGCACCTAATCAACTAGACCACTGAGACGGCATCCGACGGTGTTAATGTCGTTAATTTCGTGGATTAGTTGAAGTTAGACATTAACACCGTTGAATGCCAACCAGCTCAGTGGTCTAACGGTTAAGCACTCGCTCATGAGAATGATAGATCCCTGGTTCGAATCCCGCGAGGTGAGGTCGTGGATGCGAATTGCTGAGAAGTCACACAATAGGACGAAATGGCCCTCCAGTGCTTCCATGTTTTCCATGGTGGTCTAGCTTCAGTTGACTCATGATCTCAACTGTTTAAATTATTTTAGTAAATTATCAGGAATAATATTGATTTAATGTTGTATCAAAGAACTAATAACTTGAGAACTATTAAAAATAAACTAAATAATAAATATCAGTTTATGTGTTGCGGAGATTGTTAAGGTTTTGATTGAAATCATGAGTCAAATGCAGTTAGACCACCATGGAAAACATAGAAAGGTTTATTGATCTATCTTATTTTTTATGATTAATTTGTTTGATTTTTCATAAACAATTTAATAACTATAACCTGTTGAATGAAACTTCATGGTTATAATCACCATTGAACAGAAGTTGGAAATGTTCAAATATGAATTAAAAAAGCATGACTATTGATTTTTCTGATTCTTTATATGATTGTGGATACCCACTATTAAACACTAGTGGATTAGTTAATAAGGGCATCGAATATAAATAATTTTTTAGCTGCTTGTTTACAATCAAAATATAGTTAAAACTGAAATTTTGTTTTGATTCACTTCAATGATCTTTAGTTATTATTCTAAATAAATTTAGTTTATTGAATATCCCTGAGCAATAAGTATGAATGTTAAAGAATAATTGCAGGTTTTTCTTATTCTAAACGAGAGATGAATTGTAATTTATGCATTTAATATTTATAAAAGGAATAATAGCTTTATATAAAAAATTGTCTCATATAATCAAGGGTTATGGTTAACAGTGATTCATTCATACATAAGTTATGTAGTACACTGTTCTCTTAAATGTCACATTTGATTAGGTACAGAATAAATAATATCCTTCAATAAAGACGCGTGTCGAAGTAGGTGAACTGCAAAACAGAGGGTATCATAAGGATAATTTCTTAGTACAAAACGTTAATGTTAATATATCAGCTGAAGCGAAATAAAAAAAGTCAAGAGAGGCAACAAAAGAAGGATTTACTAACGTAATGTTTGTTGTTCATTTTATGAAATTTTTCCATAAAGAAATTCGGACGTTTCATAACTTATTTTGAGAAATCAGAGTGCTGATGCTTTCGCATCTTCTTGTTCTCTCTTTTCAGGTATCCTAAAACAATTCGACTTCTTTTCCCCTGCTTGCTACACAGAATGGTGAATGGACTTTATTATCAAATGAAATTATAAAATATGAAACTGGTACTAAAGCTAACATTTCCAACCATCAGATCTGAGAGCAGTTTTTAAGGCTTTCTGAGCTCTGTAGCACTTAACATATACACTGACTCAGATGGAGCTAGCAGATTTTTCGTACTGCATTTGGATATACCGATCGAAATGTTGAGTTTTCATAATCGGTCATGACATCTTATGAATTTGAAGTCAAGTGTGGTTAGTTCGGTACTTTTGTCGTTCGTTGGAATGTAAATCAAACCAGTATTATCTGGTTAGATCTAAGTAAACAAAGACAGAAATGTCTTGAATGAGCCAGTGACATACCATTAAGGATACTGATCGAACAATCCCAAATTCATAATTGTAACAAAGATCGAAATTCTTTTTCCATTCAATCCACTATCATATAGACAAAACTCATTTCTCTCGACACTCTTGTTATTTTTCACACATTCTAATTCCAGTGTGATGTAGTAAAAAACAGCCAAAAACTCACAATATAGTTCCTTCTTTTTATGTATTATTGCATTATTCTGAATTTCAATCGAATAATCTAGTTCAAGACAAATAGGTCCAAATTTATAGTAGATACAATCACACTTTTATTGAGGTTAATTAATCATAATTTATTTTTATTAGTTGAGATCAGGAGTCAGTTGAAGCTGGACCACCATAGAAAACCTAGATACACTGAACGGTCGTTTCGTACTTATGTTCACTAGTGAGCATATGTTGATTCATATCAGAAGGGTTTTGGTGGATATTATATTAATTTTAATAGTTGGGATCATGAGTCCATTGAAGCCAGACCATCATGGAAAACCTGGGTTCGAATCTCGTGAGGCGGGATCTTGGATGCGCACTGCTGAGGAGTTCCACAATAAGACGAAACGGACATCCATTGCTTCCAGGTTTTCCATGGTGGTCTACCTTCAATTGAATCATGATTTCAACTATTAGAATTACTATAATATCCACAAACCTCTTCTGATACTAATCATAATTTAGTTTAACATTTCAACGTGTTCTATGACATGAAAATGTTCTGTTCACATTGATATTTTACGTAAAAATTAAGTACATTGGGACTCATCTAATTTCATTTATAACAATTGATTCTGTTAAATGGACGGCTTTTTCATTGGAGTTTTCAATGGCTTCCAATGTTAACTTTTCGTTTTTTTTCAGTTGAAAATAAAGTTATTTTCGGTATTGATATATGTCATAACTTTAAATATCTAACAGTTAATTACGAATTCTCATTTAGTTGTCAAATCGAACACCCAATCTAACTGATATGTTCTCTTTTGTCAATGATCTAATTTCGTATAAACATAATATTCACGTGGTAATAAAAAAACATAAAATACAACTAATATGGTATTGTGCGTAAACTTTTAGTATTTTGCAAAATCTCAATGAATGATAATGATTATGTAATATGTCAGAGAGTTTTCATATGTAATCGGATAAGAACAATGAAATGCTAGTAAGTTGAACAAATAGAATGTTAAAACAAGATAAAATAGGTGCAAAAATGAAGTATTAGCCATGACATAAATAGAGATAAGGTAATAAATTAATGTGGTGATGGTCAGTGATCGAATAATGATAACCGGTTTGATGATTCAATATATATAGTTCAGATATTACTAATCAGTTGTCAATTTCACCATATACTCAATAATTTGTGTCTGTGATCAGAATGCCTATCGAAAAAGGAAACTCTTTCTCAGAATAATAGAAATGCTATAAGTAATGTAACCAAAGAATTTCAAATAAACACGGAATGAATGGTATAAAATGAGCCATTCAACTTAATCTGAAAGTTGTCAAATTTGTTTGAGATGAAATGTCAACCATTCAGTTCAGTAAATAGAAGACTACCAAAAGCGTCCACCTGAGCTACAAATCTTCTTTGAGGGTTATGAACAGGCTGAACTCACTTCCTGGTGGGGTACATGATTAGAGTATCATATCCCATGACAAAAAACCTATCAGGTGACCTTTAGTTTACTATGATTTTTGAATTTTGGTCAGTCTGCAACTATAATCACTTACAGAATAAACACATATCCACGATACCTATACATCAAAACATTAAAAATTGTTAAATTTAGTATGTTTTAGGTGTTGTCCAATCTTAGCCATTGGGTTTATCAATATTAAATAAATTCTATAATTTGATTATCCTTCAAAAACAACCTAACAACATACTCCCATTTTCGATAGCTTATTATAACTCATTAGAACCAATGTCAATCAACGTAGATTTACTTTTAACACTTACATTAGTGATGAAATAATGAAAGAAAACAAAGAAACACTTTAAATAAAATCCCTATGATTCATGTAAATTTCGAACAAACAATCATAAGGCTACTTTAAGTTTGATCATATGTTTAATTAATTAATTATATACAATTAACTTACATTAAAACTATGTGTTGTTTTATGTTCTTAATATATCGAATGATAGAAAGTTTACTTTAAAGAAACAACAATCATTTGTCAAATCAATATATCTACATGGTTGTTAAGGTAACTCGTATGATAATAAATAATGATAAAAATATTATGTTTTATGAACCAAGGAACATAAATGAATCTGATCCTTATAAATACAAAACAAGACAACAGTATTTTGAACATTTATTGTTCTACTTTACTCATGTATTTTCTGTTACATAACACAATAATTTGTAAGAAACGTTTTGAGTGAAAGATATACATAAGATAGCAATAATAATATAGTGGTGTATGCTACTTATATCGACATAAGTAGTATATGACGCTGGTCAAGAATAGAATGTCTGGCAGAAGAAGGTCAAGCAGATCGAGTGGGAAAGAATGGGAACAAAAAGCGATTGGTATATACAGCCCTTCGAGTATATCAAACTTAATCTTTCTATGTGATAGAAAATATTTATAGGTGAAGTTTAATGACTTCCTGAATTGTTTAACGTATATGGAATGAAAGCTTAAATAGTTCTTACGTTTACTCAGCATTACAAAGTTAGATGAAATATAATGAACCACAGTAGTCCAACACAAAGTACGACTGCTGTTTTATGCTTGCTTAATTTGGAATATTAAGCGTTTTAGTGCAAAACATTTAAAGTTGTATTCATGCACTACGGTAAATTATGTATTCAATTATAAAATTCAATGATAATCAATGTACTTTCGACTTATTGATTCCCACATATTTGAG